GGATTTATGATGATCACTTGAAACAAATTTTATAAATAAATTACATTTGACGGTATTTATAATTGATCAAAGTTATAGTTGAATTGAGTATAAGATGAACAGTTGAATCTATTAGGTAGATATGATTGAGTTGACGGACAAATTAATGTTGGAATAACTATAAGTTTCTTTCAAACAACAATATTTTTCCATGTGAAAGTAACTATTAGGATTGTTATCTTAACTTAACGAATTTGTTCTCCGTGTTCAGCTTTTAATCAGCTCAGATTGTTTGTTGAGTTACTTAATTTTAAAATATGATTTTGCTGGGCTTTTGTTTAATTTTAAAATTTACAACGAAATAAGTATTTTTTTATAATAGATCGAATAGATTACGTTGCCAGAAGCCAGTTATAGACAAACAATCAATTATTTGTAAAATAAAATGTTCTTTTACTGTCGAGTTTACTGTCAAGCATGATGATGCCCAAAGTAGCACGCCAAATCCAAAAAAGCTCTCCGCGACGGTAATTACAAAAGCATGGTTCGTCACGTACAGAATTAGGTTTTTTTTTATGATTCACTTAATTTACAAATTATTAGGTTTGGTCTCGTACCTGCAGTAACTTACAGATTCTGCAACTTACCCTAGTAAAAGTGGCTGCAGGTATGGGAACAGACCTATTGTACACAGAACAGCAAAATATTCAATAATGACTATAAAGTACGCATTTTCGAAAGTAAATGGGACCAATCTTTACCCATTAATGAGTTACTGTTACTTATTTGTGTAGTAATTATTACTCTGGGTAATTTTTTATTTTTAATGGGTTGTCCCTTTTTTTCTATAATAATGCACACTTTATAGTCATCATTGAGTATCTTGCGATTACCGTGTAGGTAGGTATGTTCTGTATAAATAAATTAGGGTTGCTAAATTTTGAAAATATAGTTTTCTGCCATCAGCGGAAGCCTTCCCCTAATAAACAAAAACCACAAACGAACTGTATCCCGGATGGGTAAACTATCCCACAAATGGTTTGCATAATACCCCGAACACGTCGTTAAGCTTTCTTTTATGGTTATTTTTATTAGGGTCTTCATGCTTTTTTGTGTCACTTTACTTATTTTCGGGTACACGACTAACGCTCTACACTCTATCTACTCAGTATTTGCTGCGAGCATGGAAATAAAATTTCAAATCTGCACGGCTTCTTGATGGCTCTACTCCATTTGGTGTAACTATCGTTTGGCATACATGCGAATAAATCGCATGTTCAAGCTTCAAATTGTCAAATTTTATGTAGAGTATGTACCTTTTGGCAGTTGCTAAACATCAAACTAAAGTATAACAAGTATAAGAAATGAACCAACTTGTTGTTCTTGACAACACGAACTCACCAACTGTTTTCTTTCCTCAAATTTGTTCTATTGAAATCAGAAATGGAATAAATCGTTACATGGTTTTTTTTTTAGAAATCAAAGAAGATAAAAATCATGGAAGGCACTGTATTGCCAATTCAGGGAAACATGTTCAACGCAACTAACTACCGTTAAGTATGTGTTTGACAGGCTATCTAGTTACCTCAATGACTCTCCTTCGTTTTGCATAATGGCTATTTGGCATAAATGTGGCAAACTTTAATTATACCAATAAATGAATGTTTTACCATCTGGGATGTACTTCAATGAAAGAAAAAAGAACAGTTCATAATAAAAAGAACGGCATGCCAAGTGGTCATTATGCCAAACGGCACTTTAGCCAAACGGGGTAGAACCCATTCCGAAAAAGTTTTTTTTTCAGCGAAACGAGTGGAAGCAACTTTGCGGCTGATTCAGATCAGTGGTTGTTTCTCAAATTGTTCTTTTACAATTATTGCACGATAGGTGATGTTTGAAGGAAAATAAATTGACATATAAATGGCTTATTTCCTTTATTAGGTCGTAAGTTGTATTTTATTACTTCGTTAGGTTGCATCTGTACGATTCTAATTTAAAAAAAAGAACGAAGAAAGACAAATTATTTAGATCTAGGATTTTGGGTTTTCTTCTGGGTCCAAGATCTCGAATATGTTTAAAATCTCAGGATCATAACATATTTGCTTAGAATTGGATCATGAAAACAAAAACTGTCGAAATCAGGGTGGCCACTGAACCAGGAAAACCGGGAATTCGATTGCGATAGAGTAGTTCAAGATCTTGATGATTTTTTGAAGTGTCTGGATTTTAAAATGATTTGATCTTAAAAGTTTGTCCAATTCAAACATCTAAACTTTGTTTCTTCATAATATGAAAATTGGAACTGGAATTTTTGAGGTCCCAGACTCACGAAAAATAAATTCTATGACCAGGATCATCCTCATTTTTCTAAGTCTTAGATCTGTTGTGAGTCCCAGAATCCTAAATTTTTTGTTAACCAAAGATCATTTTTCTCCTTTTGGGATTTTACAATTGCTTCTAAATCCAGAGGAGTTGACAACCTGAAAGGAGCACGCCTCCACAAGCAGGCATGGAAAATCATTTACATTCATTCACATTCATTTGCCTCTAACTGTTTTCATCAACAGCATCCCGCAAAATGATGTATGTAACTTTTGTAGGTTTTGTTATTAACTACAACTTTTGCCTGTAATTTAAATCTGTATCTCTTATGCATCACGAATTAGAGCGGGCAGAACTTATTACTGTTTTTCAGTGAATGTAAAATACATTCACTGAAAAACAGTAGTGGCTTCTATTCGCTTTGGTTCGTCAGGCATAAGAGATACGGATTTGAGTTGTAGCTAATAACAAAACCTACTAAAGTTCAATACATTTTTTTGTGGAATTTTGTTGATGAGAAAAGTTAGGGGCAAATGAATGTAAATGAATGCATGAAATGAATGCAAATGATTTTCCATGCCTGTCCACAAGTCATATGATTACAAACGACTACCAGCTGAAACAAGGACACAGCATGGCATTTGTCAATCCGACAATAGTAAAGTGAGGAGGTGCGGCGGGAACATTGGCACAATAACCGAAGTACGGCATTTGAGGAAATACTTCGCCAACTCGAGCGTCCACCACGCAAGACAGAAACTAACACAGAAAGAAAGCAAAGAACACGGATAACTAGATGCACATGAGGATCCAGTGGAGATGCCAAGGTGTTTTTATCCTAGGCAAAAGGTAAGCTCGAAATTCGCTATTATCGTCGTCGTTGGCAGTATATTTTAAATTAACCATCGACGGTAGAAAATACATGAATACGATAATACGATACGCGATAACTTAATCGTTCGTTACATACCAAAATAGGAACTTAATCGTACTTGGACGCGGAGCGCTGTGAATTGTGGATGCCCGATGACCCCGGAGGGATCGTTTTTGCTTACTGGCCAGAAAATCATGGATTTAACCCCAAGCTTTTCCACAGCATAATAAATCGCCATCGTAATTAGTATATTTTAAATTAACCATCAACCTCGGATTTCAATCGTTCGTTACATACCAAGCGAAAACGTAGTCGCGTTTAGTCGCGAAACGTTATGGTTCTGTCAACCCATACCCGTACCTGACGAGTTCGGGTCGGGTATTCAGAAAACTAAACTTTCGGCGGGTATTTAAAAAACACATTTCGGGTTCGGGTCGATCACATACCCGACAATCCCTATTATTCAGTTATGGCGGTTTCACCAAACCGATGACGGTGGTTTCATTTTTAATTTAAAATTCTAGTAACCCTAAGACCATCAGAAAAGGGAGTTTCTTGTAGCCTCATTTGCTGTTTTTTTTTTATTGATTCTGCGTTCCGTTTCGCAACGTTCCATTTCGCTTCTCTCCATTCCATCTGCTAAATGTCGTTTGAGAATTAATTTGCACGGCGTGTCAGTTTACCGGGAGTCCACGGTATTGTTTTTTGAAACTTTGACCTTGCTTGTGTTTTATTATGTGGTTGGCGATAAACGCATCTCTCAAAATTTAAAAATATAAAAAATATTACATTGGCGGCGTATCCAAAATTATAATGACGGCGTATCAAAAATCATCACGGAGGCGCGCCGACTCAAAATTGTCGGCGGTGGCGGCGTGTGAAAAAGTGCCGGCGGCGGCGGCACACACGACTAATAAGAGATAAGATCCCGTAGAAAGAAATTCATGTCCAAGATTAACATTTTTTTCATGATGCATATACTTTCATTAGTAACAAATTTAAAGCTCCTGGCTCAATAAAACTGTTCAAAATTACCGAAAAAGTGTAACACTGGGAGGAGAGGTATGAGATCTCCATCTCACACTCGTAATTCTCCTGGAATCCTCTTCACAATCGCCATGTTATTTTTCACAGAGGTAAGTAATTACTCAGAACTCACACAATTGATCCGTAGAGTTCTTCCCAGAGCTCCCTAGAACATTTTCTCTGAAATACCTCAGTGTTATCTTAAGAATTCATTCCGAAATCTGCTCAAAATTGTTTTGGAAAAAAAAATCTAAAATTGTCTTAATAGTTCTACAAAATGACTGTATCGCGAAAATCTAGTTCAGTCCAAGGGTCTTGACATTTTTCAAGGTCAAAAATCTAATTATCATTCAACGCAAAGTACTTTTTCCCCGATTTCTCATCAAAATTCACTGGTCACCCTGTGTGTACCTTAAAACAACAAAACCATAGAAATAATATCGTTCGCCGATGTCGTTCAAAAAGCATTAGTTTCGCTTTTATGACAAATCGCCAAAAGGGCTAGACCCTTTTGGAGGAGATTTATGCCCCTACAAGCGCGAAGCGTTGGTACACAGAAAAAAAAAGTTGTTGAATATTTCATCCAAACAGCTGCACAGAGGTCATGGTCATTCCGCTGGTTGTGTAATATTACGATGTACATGTACATCAATTTTGTGAACAAAATTACATCCATTGATGTAATATTGTATCTGCTTGTTGCTATTACATCATTATTTATACATCAGCTTGAATTGCGTTGAGATATTACTTTTTTTTGCTGTGTACAGATGCGGTTTCTCTGAACCTTGACCATCAACCCATTAATGGCGATAAGCTCCAATTCGGAAAAAAACGTTTAATCCCGCCCCTGTTTGGATGATCTGCAAAAAGTTTGCTTAAATCTGATGTCGACAACAAAGTGGCCGGACATTCTTGATCGGGATTTAATCCGAGGATAATACCGGTTGGAGCTTACCACCATAAGTGAATGATTCTAGATAACACTGGAATTAGGGCGTAACAGCTTTTGTAAACAATTACTTCTCTCGATGATTTCTAGGAATTAAGGCACGCCTGCACAAACCAACATATCCATTGGGTAGGGAAAGTCTTCCTTGAAGAGGTTGAAAACACCCAATTCAGTCTCTTTAGTCTTCCCGTACTCGATGGTGATGGCGATTAGCCAGGGAGAGCCATGACATTCATGATTTTGTTTTAGTTTGCAACAGTTCCATATGGTGCCACTTTGACAATTGCATTTTCTCCGAAAATGTATGGCTCAAGTCACACATTTTTGCCAAGTGATGAGTGTTTGAGTGTTGTTTACATCACTTTGTCATCCCACGGCAGTGGGGCTGTTGATCAACTTTCGATTACGAAGGTCCAGACCAATTGATACCCTACAATTTAAATGGCAGCTGATTGTTCTACAATCAATTCTTTCTTGATAAAGAAAATATCGATAAGGATCTAAATTATTTAGGATCAGATTATTTTCGCACTTTCTTAAAAATAGCCTAGTAAAGAGTTAAATTTCTTCCATAAGGTTGTGAAGTCCAAAAATGAGTGTGTGCTATTTAAAGCTGGACTGATAATTTTAAGATGGACCGAAAAGCTACTGCTACAGTGGGAAGTAAAATAGAGAAAAAAAATAGAGAATTCAAACCAATTTCAGTACTTTGAGTCCTAAAACTGACGATTAGGGTGAGTCAACTTTACAACTGCCTACTCCCAACTGTTTTTATTTTCCCGCAACAACTGTGCCTCATGTGAACGAATTCGGCTACGATCTGAATTTTAGGGATAATTTCAAAGCGAGTAGGTATGGGAAACGGAAAGAAAACAATAATTTGCTTGTCAAAAATGCATACATTGCTCAAACATTGCCAATAACTGAGACTTAGATTGGGTGAACTGTGCAGAACTAATTTTTCCAAGACCGAAAATCGAATCGATTTCTGAGCAAAAAGTTAACCATTATCACATTGGCTGAAAGTTATTTGGAGTGTTGGAAGCAACTGAAACATAACAATGTGATGAAAGTGCACGTTTTCCGTAAAATTGTTTTGGTCTCTTCGGCGCACTTATTTCATGCTAAGGGCAACGGGGCAACGATTAGACGGAAACTTGCACTTTTATCACATTTATTTGTATAGTTTGGTGAGAAATGAGCCATAATAAAATAATTGCACAGAAGATAACTGAACTTAGGGTCGTCGACACAGTTGTTCTAATTAGTCTGCCAACTCTAAGTCTCAGGTAGATATAGACAATATTGACCAATGTGTGGATTGTCGATAAACAAATGAATGTTTCCTTTCCGAAATTTGGTTCTGAAAGTCTCTTTAATAAAGTAACCTAACCTAACCTTACTTTGAAATTCATCCGCAAATCCAGGCCACAACCAAATTCGATCAATTCGTGTTTTTTTTTTAAATGTTCAAATTTAACACAGTTTTTTACAAATCGAAAAAGCAGTGGGTTGTGACCTGCCACACAAACTTGACCCACCCTAGGGATGATTCAAATATGACGTCCACTCTTTAGAGGGAGAGGAGGTCCTAGAATTCGAAAACTGTATGGGGGGAGGGGGGGGGGGTGTTAGGGAAAAAATCGAAAAATGTGTGGATGTAATATTTGTATCGTCCCCTATATAGTATCAATCGTTCAGATGGATTCAGTTACATACTATAAGCCCCTAGTTGGAACGTTTTTTGTAGATAAAATAACCGGCTCCAGCAGCAACAATGGCGATTATAACCACCACCGCAAGCACGATTTGCCAGCTTGAATCACTTTCGTCATTTGCGGGATTTCTAGGGTCGAAACGGATCGTAGTATGTTCACTTGGTGCATGGGTAGTAGTCACCGGTGAGGGAGTCGATGGTCGCGGCGGTGGTGGAGGACGAGGTGGCAGCGGACCTTTACAACACATGCCTTCGATTTGCTGATCTCCGCAGTTACTGTCCCGATCTAGTGGTGTCGCAATATTATGTTGGTTTAAAAACTCGAGCATATCCTTCACTTTTCTGCACGGGAAGTTGTTGCCATTCAAATGTACACTTTTTAGTGACTTGAAATCCGTTAGATCAGCGTAATCCAGTTGTACCATGTTATTGTCGTTGAGTTTAAGCGTTTCTAATGCGATAAATGGTTTTAAAATATCCAACCTCAAGTCCGCAGGCAGTATGTCGTTCTTGGACAAATCCAGTAGCTTTAATGATTGCAATCCGACATTTTGCAGTCCAAATCCATCCAAGTAAAATACTCCATTGTCCGATAAGTTGAGATCCTCCAACAGGTTTAAGTTGGCAAATGCAGATAAATCAATAGTATTTTTCCTCCACAATTGTTCGTTTATGCCCAAATTTAGCACCTTGAGTTTTTCGCAGTTGGTGACATTCTGAACAGTCGTCAACCTATTGCTACTTAAGTCCAGTTCCATTAAACTGGCACACTCGTCGTTTTGGTCCATAAACACTTTCTGTATGACGTTATTCCTAGCATACAGAGCTACCATATTTCTTGTGATGGTCACCGACTGGAGTCCACAGTCTTCCACTTTCAGAACTTCTAAATCATCCCGAAAAACATCCAGAAACTTGCCGGGAATTCCCACCATGTGGGAATCCTTGAAGGCTACATTCACAGGTTTAGTAGCACCGGAGAAAGCAAACGCAATGTTGGTCGTATTTTTAAAAAATCTTACACCCTGGAACACACAAAATTCCTGATCCATGGTACATTCGTAGGATTGCGCGTGTGAGAGCTGAATGCATAGCAAGGCCAATAGAATCACCTTCAACGACCTGAAATTAATTTGATTTAGCAATACAATGTTTTGCCTGTGGCAATTTTATTATCTTTGATGAATAAAATTCAAAAACCCTTTCTCTTTCCTTCTGCTGTAAAAGTTTTACCGTTTCTACCAAAAAACCCCCGTGCAAGATAAGCTGAGTAGATGTGGGTTTTCTGCGAGTGGTTTAATTTTTACGGCAGTACAAAAAAGATAAAAAGTGGTTCGATTTTATTCATCGATTAGCTGATCAGTTACCGTGTTAATACTTTGTAAAAACTACATACCTCATTTTGGGGGCGTATTCTAGAAAATTGGTTGTTTATGCTAACAGATGAATATTACTGTGTACCCTAGATCTTAGTCATTGGTTATAGATAAAATGAGTCACCTTAAATTCTGAACGAATCGGACGAAACGATAGAACGAGTACAACGATACCCGGCTAAACAAAGTTATGCGATGCGATATGATGCCAATGAGCTGGATTACCGAGGTGAAGCAATCACTCACAAAACCACTGTACGATACACGCAAGTACACGCAAGTAGTGACGTCACTACTTGCGTTTACGTTGATTTTTTGGTTTACTAATACAACCCTATTTCACGATCTGCGTAACCTCTCTATGTACTCATTGATATGATGCGCCTGGTTGTATTGGTTTCATGTCTGGTTGTATTGGTGCGATATGTGAGAGCGGTTAGTGAAAAAATCCAAGGAAAATCAGGAAAATACATAACAAATCACTGTCAATCTATTTTTGACAGATCGAATTTCATACAATCCTCGCGTAACTTTTCAAAAGGTCCTAAGTAACAAAAAATGTAAACAAATCGAGTTAATCGATACCTCGATCGATACAAACTATTGCTCTTCTATCATTGTATTGCCGCGAATACACTTGTATGACAAACTATGAACATGACCTAGAACATGACCATTATTTTTATAATAAATAATGAGCACTCGTGACAATCGATTTCACTCTCGTTTTGTACACAGCAAAAAAAAATGTAATATCGATCAACGTTATTCAAGCTGATGTATGAAATAATGATGTAATAGAAAAAAGCAGATACAATATTACATCAATGGATGTAATTTTGTTCGCAAAATCGATGTACATCGTACAATGTGATATTACACAACCGATGAATTGACCTGGTTGCAGCAGTTTCGATGTAATATTCAACAACTTTTTTTGCTGTGTACGTTCAACATAATGTCGAATCTAGTGTACTGTATTCGTTGAATAATGCGCTTTAATGCAGAACTAGAATAAAATCGATTGTCACGAATAGGTTATATCGGTCTACAACTCTAGCGACAATATACAGTGAAAAGGAAGTGATACGCATAATGAGCGCCATGATTGCCATACAAATGAAATGGGAATCACAGTTGTGACGACAAGTCTTCAAATTTTACATTTCCTTAAATTCAAGCAATTCCTCGAGCAAATTTCCTCCCGATTAAAAAATGTTCAAATTTTAAGCCATGCTCGCAGCACAGTTCGACGGATGATGATATTAGCACAGACAAACAGACATAACACATTGAATATTTCTCACTGTAAAACATCGTCGCTAAAACATTACCGCCATCTGTTGAGTACACTCTGGTTGGCACTACACTGAACAGATGGCGGCAGTGTGTAAACGTCAAACGCAAGGGAATTGACTATGCGCGCCACAGGTGGCGGTACTACCAACTATGATACTTTTAAATTGTCCGTTAAATGCTTGTTATGTCTGTTTGTCTGTGATATTAGCTTGTGCCTGAATTAACAGATTCAATGGAAGATGTATTTGCATTTGCATTAATTTTCTGATGTTACGCGTGAATTGTTCGATTATTTCAATATTTCTTTCAAACTTAATATTATTATACTAATAATAATTAACAGATTTAAGGCAGAGTTCATTAACAAAAAAAATTATAATCAGGTTTTGGTTGCAGACACTAAGATGATACAAACCAATTGTGTGCTTTTATTTGTATTATCGCCATCATATGATCACATCCGTATTCAGAATTGACGTGATAGCACTTATGAAATTCGCCTCTCTTATTCGTCTTTCCATGGGTCAACTAAACTAAAATACTACGGGCAGAACTCCAAATCGATAGGAAACGATGAGTCCCATGTGTACAGGACACGAAATGATCGTTACCGATCAACTTGACACACTCAAGTTATCCGTGCCGGGAAGACAATTGCATACTAGCTGCGATTTTTTCCCGGAAGTAGAGCAGCGTGTGAATGTCCAGCTCCAGTGTCCGTTCAGCTCTTTCTCTTAGGGGTTGTTCATAAACTACGTAGACAGTTTAGGGGGGGGGGGGGAGTAGACAATTATGTACGGCCCATACACATTTAAACAATTTTGTATGGACAATTGTCTACGCTGGTGAAGGGGGGGTAAATAATCCAGTCAAACACAGACACATCGGTGACTGCCCGGATAAAAATAAACCATTGCTTTTATGGTATAAACCATTGGTATACTGTAGACTATATAAGATACAATGAGATATATTGTATTTGAATGACAAGACAACATGTTTCCGTATTGTAACTACCACACATAAAGATCATAATCTTATGTAACAATACAATGATTTGTTATTCTTATGTTTGAACCTTTCTTAACTTAAGAAGCTCCACCATTTTACTGCAGTATTCCATGCATTAAAGACGTGTTTTGTATTACTTTCTTGGTCGATTTTACATAATGGCACCGAAAATTGAAACTTCTGTGAAAAATCGTAAACAATATGTTCTATGATTATTGTATTGTTGTTGACACTACAATTTACAGTAAATACAATCAATTTTTTTTTTTTATTATAGTCACTTTAACACTCTTGGGTCATTCGTGACTTGTCCGGGGGTGAGATTTGAACTCGTCACTTTAGCGTGAGAGGTATGGATGTTAACCACTACGCCGGGGTCGCCGCCTACAATCAATTATATTGTATGGTACAATACATTTTACTGTATCTTTATGGTTCTTGTTTTACCCTTGCATGTTCAAATTTTTCACCCGTGCATAGGTCCATAGCTATTTTTCTCTTTTCCTCAGAAAATTATCCAGCCTGAAAATAATAAACAACAAATTTTACCGTCGTTGCATTGTAAAACAATACAAAATTGAATGGTGAAACCATTATCATACCATTCAATCAATCGTTAAATCAGCGATTTAGTCACTTTTCAAAATAGTACACACAAAAAATTATTATTGCTTAAATTAAAAGAAACGTTGGTAGATTTAAAAATTGGCGTTGGTTCTTTTTGGTAGAAAGCGGATAGCTTTCAAACCAACAGTCAGCCAACTGTCAAATCAAAAGTAGTCCACTTGCTGCTTTTAAAAGTTTTAACTTCAAAATTAATTGTACTACTGTCAAATGAAAAACATGACAGTGTTGAAAATAAAAGTGAATTATGTTTGTTTCGAAACAAGCTTTTGTCATGAAAGTTTAACATAATTGAAATGAAATGAGCTGATTTTAATTAAAAAACAAATACTATCGATTCAAATAAAAGCATTTTCTAAATAACAATATATTTTTCATTTTAAATTCTAATAACTATACCACAGACAAACAGACGTAACTCTTTGAAAAACTTGTTCTTGAAAACATCGTATCTCAAAACATATAACCTCAGTAGCGACATCTCTCTGGCTTCTCGTGGAAAACAAGCTTGCTCGCTAACTCGTAAACAATATTGCATAAAAGTTCTATAGAATATATAGAAACGTCAAAGTTATCCGATGCCAGCGCTGCGGCGAGTAGTTCGCGGAACTGATAATATTCAAATCAACCGTTAAATGCATGAACGAAGATACACAATGAAGAGTTACGTCTGTTTGTCTGTGACTATACCATCAAGAAGCATTTTTTATTATATATATTTTTAACTATTCGCATAAATATTATACTTTTATAACAAATTTATTAATCTTATACCTTGTTCACATTACAGCGTATATCACGTGATATACACACCAAATTTTGAATCAGCCTTCCAGCAAAACGAATTGCTGAACAGAGTCCAGCAAAATTAAGATTTACTGTGAATCCAGCATGCATGTTTGTTTGCTGGATGATCAGTAAAATACGGGAACTGTCAAATAGATTGCAATTTCGTAAGTGGATTCTTTATCGCATGCCTGATCGCAAGTTGATTTATTTTGATTGTTTTATACTAGTTTTCAATGTGTTTTGCTATTGAATGTGATTTAAAATCATAATTAAAGGTACATTTGCATACAAATATTCGTTATAACAGTGCATCTGTAATGTGACGCCTTTTTTTATTTATTTGCAAGAGGAAGTGGATAATTAGTCGGCGTCTTTGAACGTTTTTGATAGTATTTCTTCATTTTCACTGAATTTATCGCTACATAATTTGAAATACAGTTATGATGCTAAAGTATGAAATAAATTAAGTTTGAATTAAATAAAATCTTTGAAAAATAATACTTCACTAATTTTGCTGATACAGCAAAATAAATTCCTATTTTGTATTACTGAACAACCAGCAAATTTTGCTGGTTCTACAGTAAAGTGCTGTCATTTTTATGTCAGATTATTTTGCTGGTTATCCAGCAATATTTTTTTGCTGCTAGGATTGCTGGATTTCCAGCTCGGCAAAATCCAGCAAAATTTTGCTGGTTTCCAGCGAAATAAAAATAGTGTGTACGCTGTCTTGCAATGAGCACTCATACATCTAGTTTTCACTGGAAATCCTATGTATGAGTGCTCATTGCAAGACAGCCTATATTACGTGATATAAGCTGTAATGTGAACGGGGTATTATCTGTTGATTTAATAATATATCTGGATCTTTAATGCTGGCTTCTTCCTTCCGTGTAAGCTATCAGTGATCTGCTGTAGCCTCGGCTGTAGCTTTAGAAAAGTTCGCGATATTTCGCGAAGTTCAGGAGAAATTTGCGAGTCACAATGGGTTTTCGTTTTAGTATTCCATCACTGATCTGCTGGATCGTATCCACTGGAACGTACCGAAAAGATTTCCGTGCGGCTTCCACATTATGTTTAGCTAGAATTCCCGGGCTGTTCGCTTGCCAAAACAGCTCCTTTCTTTGATCCGGATACTGGGGACGCAACCGTGGATGCGACTTTCATCTCGTCTATAGGGATAATTTCACCTGGCGGAAAAACTTCGTTTAGTTATTTGGTACGAGATTTGCTAGTAATAAATACTAACCTTTCTAGCTATGATTTAATACTCGATTAACCTGCGCGGGTTTGAATTCTCTCTGTCATGTAAATGGATTGCTTAACATCGATGGTCAAATCCGTGCCAGAAGTAGCACTACGGTTGGGGATAAATCAAATTCCATAGCGGTGTAGTCATCCGAACTGCCTACCAACAGCGACTGATGTGGACTATGTTGATCGTGACCTTGGCCGGAGAAGAACTCCCTTCGACTTGACGACCGACTCGGTACATAATCAT